TCAACAGCTGTATGCCCCGCCACATGGAAGTCTAGAGCCCTGCTCTAATTTGCCAGGACAAACCTGTGAGTTTTCTTGCAACAAAGGGTACATTTTGATGGGATCAAGAAAAAGAACATGTAACAGTGATGGAACTTGGACTGGAACTCCGACTCAGTGTAAAGGTGACTGACCTCAATTACTACTATTTTCTCTGTTATTTAATTGAATCGGTTACCTCTGTTGTAACTGGATATAATGTATGTGTCTTTAAGCCAACTGTTCATGACCCTAGCATCTCTAGCTCCTGAAATACGAAATTTGTCTAGCATGTTTCTTGCGCTACGAAAGTTTGATTAAAAGGAAACCAAGCTAGAACTAGAATTTCACAATTAAAACTTGATGACTAAGAGAGACCTAGGATTCGACCATGAAGACATTTCCTGAAATCTTTAGATAATACCTGGATTTCGTGGAAGGTGGGGTTATTGCGACATGTTAACGTGAAAGACAGCAATAAACTTTCTTGATGTGTAAAAAATTTTCATTGGACTATATACTGGCTATTATTTGTATTATATCTCACTCCAACCATTTTCCACAACTTGTCATCTCAAAATAATAGGTAAGGTAAATAGAAAATTTGTGGCATATTTGCCATGTTTGAAATGCCATGTCTATAGTAAGCTAACAGGATTGAGGAGGATGCATGTGGGAATAGGCTCTCTCGTCTGAATCATTAATTTACCAATCGCTCCTGTTGCCAATGTTTTGATGAGATTGGGCTGTCTGGGCAAAGGAGCTGAGGATTTTAGTAGGCAGTGACTTTTTTAAAACCTGGAAATTAACACCGTGAAAAGCATACTTGTGCCTGGTAATACTTCATTCTTGTTCTGATAAACTAGTTTTAAGAACGATATTTTTATTACATAAATTTAATGCATAGGCTGTGCAAAAAGCTTTAATACGACTATGCTTTTTAGGCCAATACCAATCCCTACACAAAAGAGAATTAGGAAAAATAATGTGCCACATATCTGAGAGATTTCATGAAACTACTTTAATTACAGTCTTAAGTGTCCAGTCTTTAGTGATTCAGTGATCAAGAAAGATTAAAGCTACAGCAACTATTTCATTTTAATGAAAGCTGGTTCGCCCAAATCGGTCATCAATCTCTTTGCCCTTTCGGATTTAATAATTGGCTGAGCAAACATATCATTGACCATGCTTAAGGCCAAGATGGCTGATTATTGCCTGAGTTCTTAAAAAAAACAACAACAACAACAAAAACAACAAAAAATAGAGGCTAATATCCGGCCACCTTGACAGCACATTCTTGGTCAATAAAGGATTTATTATAAAGCAAAAATATTTCGCGTTATTAGGAATCAAGAAGTGTACTTCATGCTGCTCCACAAAATGTTTATCTTGCACGGGATGAAAAGGGTCAATCTCAAGCGGGCAAGATGAACCCATTCAGATGATTCAGAGTCTTAACAGAGCACAGGACTCGCTGGTTTTGCCCATAGGGGCTGCCAGTGATAAAATAATCTGTAATCTAGTTTGGTGCAATACACTGTCTCCATTTTTACGGCTTAAAATTTTTCTATTTATAGCAACATTTTGCACTCCACCTTGTCTGTTGGTATCAAATACAACTGATATAGTAGCAGTGGACCATGAAAAAGCAAAGGTAACCTCAATGATTCCAGGCCTTACAAGAGCTGTTGCTATAGGCGTCCATTTCAGCCTGGGCTTCATATTTTGGAGTGACGTGACAGAACGGAACATCAAACGATTTCGGATTGATGAGGCAAACACGACTACAATCATAACCAATATTGGTGTCTGCGATGGACTAGCCGTTCAATGGAGAACATCTCAGTTGTATTGGACTGATACAACGTATAATAGGATATCGGTATCAGACCTGGATGGAAACAACCAACTTACTTTAATTTCCTCGGCATTGGAAGAACCCAGAGCCATAGCCCTTGATCCGGACAACGAGTAAGTGTCATATTTGTGCGATTTATAAGTACTTTATAATTAGCCGCTCGGGTATAATACAGTGTGCACTTATCGAACTTCCAATACATTGATCAGTGAGATTCGGAGAGCACAAACGGTTTCGGAAGAGCTTCTTTGCAACCTTCATTAGAGTTTTACAGTGTTTCTTCTAATTCAAATCTCTTTAAAAGCAGTGGCGATAATTTTATTAAATCAATATATATATATATATATTACTTTTTCCTTTTTTTCAAGCAGAATAATTATCTTAAATGTTTTAGTCGTGGACTTAATTTATCTCCCGCAAAGAGAGTGATTTCAAATATCCCAGGATGGTTTACATAGTATTTCTTTTATGAAATTTTCTTTTCTTCTTATGTTGATATCGTTGAGAATCTAAGCAAGATAAGTGTAACGTGTAATCGATCCTTGCTAATCGTCTGAAGCTTCCTTTTGAACTGTAAATGAATAAGTCGTGAATTCATCGACTGAACGATTTCAAAAGTTGACCGACTGACTCACTGATCGATGTACCGATTTGGCTCAACGACAGACTGACTGACCTACCCTCTAAATGATTAGCTAACAGGCTGGTAAGCCAACCCATTGAATAACCGCTCGGTAAGCTGGCTAACTGGCTAGTTATAAGACTGGATAAATCATTGATTCATTGTCTCACCTCAAAAATCTGCTTAAAGTTTAACCTATTGATACCGTCACTTAAACAGTGCAATGATTTGGACTGACTGGGGAAGCGCTCCCAAAATTGAAAAAGCTTCCCTGAGCGGACAGCAAAGAGTCGCCATCGTAACAACAGAAGTCTACTGGCCGAATGGAATTGACCTCGACAGAGGAGGAAAAAGAGTCTTTTGGGTAGATGCCGGTTATGACAGAGTGGAATCGGTCGACTACAGTGGTAACAACAGGTCACTGCTTTTTCAGATGCGTAGCGTACATCCATTCGGAGTGGCGTTGATCCCTCCTTTCCTGTTCTTTACTGACTGGGTGACAGACAGGGAGCTGCACATGCTGGACGCTACAACCGGAGATTTACTCAAAAGTTTCAGTATTAATGGTGGGCGACCTATGAGAATTGTTGCATACGACAGTGGGCGACAATCAGCAGGTAATCTTAAGGGGGCTATCAGCTAGTCGTGAATTCGGTTTCCCTCATCAAACACTGTCGGTAATCACCCGTGAAAGTCAGGAGGATACTGACGAAGTCCTGGACGTTATTTTAGTGTTGAGTCTCAGTGCATTTAATAAAGAGGATATCAAATGGAAGCTAACAACGTTTTCATTGTGGTGTCTGCCATGAGTGAGGGCACTAAAATATATTTTCCGCTCATGAAGAGCTGATGTACATATCAACAAAATTTTCCCACTTTCGACCCAAAAGAAAAATTTGCAAACTCAAAGGTATACTGTAAACAAAGCTATAACTAAACAGCCATACTTTTAACACATAGCATTTCAGTGATTAAATGTCGTAACTCTTTTCTGTTCACACTTTTCATGATCAATCGCCTAAATTTGCATTCCTGGTCAGAATTTGGACTAAAGTGGTTGAGGAGTGGAAGTTAAAATAATTATTGGTGTCGTCAAAGTGTTCAGGTTTTGAAATAATGTATGGTCAACAGTATAAACTGCACGCTTTTACATTAAAAATTGTTTCTTTCTTAAGCTCCAGGTCCTTGCTCTGTAAGCAATGGAGGATGCAGTCATTTCTGTGTTCCAAAGGCGTCTAACCATGAATGCGTGTGTCCTACGGGCCTATCAGTAAAGCAAGATGGAAAGACGTGTGAAGAAAGTACGAAAACTGTTTATTGATTGCCGGAGATGATGCATAGATACTAAGAAAGCTATGTCAGCCCTTTCAAGAAAAATGAAATAATACTTGTCTGTTTGTAATTCTGCAATTCTAATAACGGTCAGATTTAGAGATGAGAATACCGCATGTGAATATTTAAAAAGGTCCATTTTTCCACCGCCCACCCACCGGCTAACATGCATGCCACCTTTAAAGGCAGCCTTAAGATTAAAAAAAACAACGAGTAATGCATGGTCGCTATGCGCATTCTTTGTTCGAGAAATCAATAATACATTGAGGGTTATGACAACCTGCTGCATTGAGATGAATCAATCATCCTCCCGAGAAAGAGTCTTTCATTGACAACAAACGCTGTTTTGATTACAATTGCAGAAGTAAAGAGGTTTATCCTTTTTGCTGACGCCGACGACAAATCAACAAATATCATTTCACTGGATGTTAGCTACTTCGTCGCTCAAACACTATTCAACCATATAGGAAATCAGCGTCCTGTCGCTTTGGACTATGATCCTGTCGAAGATCGCGTGTACTGGTCGGATGTTGCTCAAGGTCTAATCGTCAGCGCTTTTACCAATGCAACCTCATTGAAGATCCTTTTTCGTTGTAATATCCTAAGCCCCGAGGGTTTAGTAATTGATCATGTAGCACGGAACATTTACTGGACCGATACTGGAACTAATAGAATTGAAGTAGCGCGTCTTGACGGATCAGGTAGGAAAGAATTGATCAATACTGGACTTGATGAACCAAGAGCCATTATACTGGATGAAAGAAATGGGCAAGTAACGATTTTTTTAAGACTGAAATGTTTTTGTATCCGCTGGTGAACGCGTTGTAGCGGAAACAGCAAAGAAGTATCATCAGTAGTAAACGTAGCCTTTCAGTTATCCACGGCTTTGACACAAGCTAAGTACTACAAATGATCTTACCCAGTTGAATGGACTTCAAAAACAGGAAGCATCCGAGAGATGTGTGAAAACGATGACATGAATAAATGTCGACGTCTACTTATGATATATAAAATGCAATCGGCCATTTGGCTGTGCTAGGGGGCAACCTCAATAAAATTTTGTCCAAAAAATTCTTAATTATGTTTGGAATAAATAATTTCTTTTAGTATGATGTATTGGACGGACTGGGGCGCCAATCCGAAGGTAGAGAAAGCAGAAATGGATGGCTCGGGTAGAAGGTCCATTGTTACGGCAAATCTAGCCTGGCCAAACGGACTTACCCTGGACCAGGCTACAAACCATTTGTTCTGGGCGGACGCGAAACTAGACACTATAGAGATGTCTGATCTGGATGGAGGAAACCGACAGACTGTTTTACCATCTACAGCTGGAATTCATCCTTATGGATTAACAATGTATCAGGACATTATTTATTGGACAGATTGGAATAGCCAGAGTGTTACAAGTTATAATGCAACTAGTGGTCAGATGAACGTGGTTATTACTGATCTACAGAAGCCGATGGATATTCACGTGTTTGATCCTTCCTTGATATTCTCAGGTAAAAGTACTGCCTCTTTCTTATCTTCTCTGAGTTAGCAGATATTCACATTGGCAATCGCTAACGGCCGGATATGTATACTAGAAAAAGTCTCACTCAAGTAATCATTAGACCGGTACGTTTTTTCTCAAGTGTGTAATTTGAAGTAATCGTGATATTTGTAGTTTTACCGATAATCCTTCCTGATACTGTTTAAAAAGACAAAGTTTGTAGTGAAAGGTTTAATGATTCTTTAGCTGATGGTGTGTCTTATCAAACATGGTAATAAATGATTCGAGTTGCTAGAGAAGCTTGGAAATGACTCTCACAAATA